GATATGTTGGTTCTAGCATCCTTGCCCAACAACCTGTGCAACAACCATACACCACCGACACCAAAAACTTTAACACCAAACTATATTGAACTCTGCTTTGTGAGCCTGCATGTGGTCAGTGCCTCTGATATATCTAAAATAATCACCATAGGATCTTTTTGCACTTTATTACCTACAAATTCTAAACTTGAGTTTATTACAGAATTAAAAGTCCATTTCAGAATGGAAATGCTGGAAAATCTAGTTTATAATAAAAATGATGAGAGATAATGAGGAAAAGCTGCACACTCCATTGCAGATACTATAGTATTAGCATCACGCTTGAAGGTTTCTGAACAAAACTGGCCCAAAAAATTAATATAATGCAGGATGTCGTTTGAAGTCTCTCTGCGTATTAATATTGTTTATTTTCATCAAATGTTGTGAAGAATATAAGTGATGTATGTGCACGTCTATATGTAATAATAGCAGTTACTATTTCACATTCATACACAAAGCACAAAACTGAAAGCAATTTGAATGCATCATTCGTCTTATTTAGATAAGATTAGACACACAAACCATTATTTTCTCTGCACTTGTTTTTTTTTTGTCACTTTGAAGAAAAACCCCAAAAGGTCTCAGCGTGACGGCGTAAACAGATTTATGTCCCAACAGCAGGATAACACAACTACACACACTGAGCCACTCTACTCTGTCTGGTTCTCTTGCAAACATCAGTTGAGCCTCTCTTTTATATTGATCTTGACAGGTATCGCAGTCTGAAGCAGTTCAATGTGGACATCTGCCAGACATGTTTTCTAACCGGACGCACAACCAAGGGAAAGAAGCTGCACTACCCCATCATGGAGTACTATACACCAGTAAGACAAACATTAGCTAGTGCTCTTACGGAATACAAATTCAAGTTCCTAGTGATGGATAGAGCCCAGCTGTACTCCAACGAAAAGGGAAAAAAATGTACTCCTGTCTCCTGATTTCTGCTGCCAGACATGGATTAGGCACCTTTCCACTGTACAGACTCTATCATCTATAATACTGTTACATATCCTTATAGTTATCTGTAGTATGCAGAGACTGAGCACTACTCAGCAGCAATATCCTTTTGGCTTGAACGGTGCACATAAAGTGGGATTTGGAGCACAAAACTCCAATAAGACCAAAGTCTTAAACGAGTGCATGTACATTGTCCAAAGTCGAGTTCATTCTAAATGAGTAGCTGTTGCACTGTTGCTGGAGTGCTGGAGTGTACTGAGATGGTGCCAGATTAAATCTTTAATCAATTCCAAGCTGCAAAATATGGCAAAGGGCCATCCGTACAATGTGTTTTTTTTCTCAGTGGACAATATTTTATGTTTGCTAGCTGCAGTTTTTTTCCCACCAGCTAGGCAGGCAGGCGCCCATAGATTTCTACACTGATTGAGAGAGTAGGAAAGAGAATCAGAGAGGGGGGGAAAAAAGAGGCAAGGGTTTAGACAAAATATAAAGGATCGACAGAGAACAGCAGTAGAAACTGAATGAAAAAGCACAGTGTGGAAAAAAGTTGGTAAAGTCAAAACAAACCGGCTTCAAGGCAGACTGGATACATTTTAAATGAGGTAATGTTGGAGAACGCAACATTTCCAAGAAAACTAAAGTTGTATAAATTGTCTCCCACCCATCACCTCAACTTTACCCACTTACCCCATGTGCACCTAAATCACACTACAGACAACCTCAGGAGAAAAGATGAGGGACTTTGCCAAGACTCTGAAGAACAAGTTCAGATCAAAGCAGTACTTCACGAAGCACCCGCAGAGAGGTTACCTGCCAGTGCAGTCAGTGCTGGAAGCTGATACCTCAGAGACGTGAGTCCTGCACATAAACACACACAGAACACAGTCATCTCTCTCCTGTCATCTGTCCCTCACTGACTCACTGTTACACCCATACATACTCCTGCTGTTGCAGGCTAATTATCATGCTGACTCACTCAGATGGGTTAAAGAGAAAGCTCTGTGTTCAGGATTAAAATAATGTTAGTCCTGTGATCTCATTCTGGCTCGGGAGCACTGTTCACATGACTGAGTCTCATTTAAAGTGGGAAACAGGCAATGAGACTAGCATCCATTAGATCATCGTGAAGCATTGCTTCAGGCTACGATGTACCCAGGATGATTTACACAATTATGGGTCCAGGTTTTGGCCCATTTTTATGGTCATCTTTTATGACTATTTTATAAATGTCCGAAAAATAAGGATAAAGGAATATCTGTCCTGCCAACTAACAATGAGCTAGAGCTAAAGATTCAGTATATGGTTATAATAGGAGCTTATTAAAAAGGTATGGTCCTGACCTTGCGACATTAAGCCTGCCCTCGTCAGACAAAGTGAAGACCATTAAATTGCCTTTTTCCAGCTAAGATCTCAGTCATATGATAAAGTGCTTTTGGTTGAAGATTACATCTCGGCAATGTCATTTTGCAGCAGCATATAATTATAATACATAAAAACATACTAATCCATAAATTTGCCTGGGGCACAAAATGGAAAAATAATTGGAAACAATGCTTGACCTTCATATTTAGTGATGAAATATATTCAACGAATAAATGCAGCAGCTTTCATTACGTGTCAGGATGGGCTTTTTTTCTGTACCCCTCAATTTAGGGCAGCATTATGATCAACATCATGCTGTGCCTTCACATACTCAAGATTCTTAGTGCATAAAGCCATTTTGTTAAAAAGAGCTTACTATACAGATGTCCTCGCTCCTAATCTTCTGATCAACTCATTACTTATGCAGCCCACTCACAAGCCAGAAATGATGGCTTTCAAAACCATCACACATTCTTCCTGTAAAATCACCGGACCTCTGTCAGAATCCCTTTGTGCTTCCCTAAATAAAGTTTTTCCTGAAGTCTCTTTGGTTTGTTGCAGTGGTAGTAGTAGTAGTAGAATGCAAATTTTTCAGTTTTGCTTTTCTGCAGCCACACATTCATGTTTTGAAAGAGTTAAAAATTGCATCTGTGAAGTATTGACGGTGGCGCCTTTTGTTCCCAGACCGTGCTCCTCGCCCAAGCTGCCCCATGCAGACACACACAGCAGGATTGAACATTATGCCAGCAGGTATGTGGCTTTCTGCACTGTGCTATCTATCAAATCATTACTACAGAGTCTCCTGCCATTTTCCATTCTCCAAATCAACCACCTCCTTCCCGCCCACCCCCTTACATACATTCACTCCACCCCACTTTTCCCTCTTCTTCTCCCCTTTCTGTTCTCTCACCCTTTAGTCTTTGCCACACTCTAATTGAGGTATTGATTTGTCTGCGTTGTGCACTGTACTCCAGCTAGGATAGAGGCTGTATTACCCAGCGGTTTCCTTCACTCTTATGCGCCACACAAACACAGTGAAGTTTGTGACCATTGTGTGTACGTGTGTGTGTGTATGTGTGTGTAGAGGTCAGCAGGGCTCAGCGTGCCTAGCAGCTTGTCACTTACTGGGGCAGTGAGCCCATTGGTCACCTGGGAGCTGTCGGTGTGGCTTAGTGTCTGTTTGACAGCATACAGGGCACACCACTGGACTCCCACACTCCTGGCAGCTCTGCCCACAGTGCAGTGTGCATGCACGTGTGTGTGTGTATATGTGTGTGTGTTTTGGTAAGTGTGCCACTGTGTATTGTTTCCCCTAGGCTCTTACACACAACTGCTTCACACACTGCCAAAACATAGGGAATATGCACCAAAGAGAAAACAAGCACAATTGTCCCCTTTATCTCTTCCCTTTTCCCTCCTCCTATATCTTCTTTGCCCCTTTTCTTCCTTTTGCTATCTGCAATCTCTCTCTTCTTTTGTCTCCACCCTATTTTGCTGCTTTTTATAGGTATCTAACCCCTTTTCTCTTATTCTTTAACATATTTTCTATTTTGTCATCTTGGATTCAATAATTTGTTTTCAGTCATGCTACAATTTTCTGAAAAGGCTGTTCAGTCATATTGGTCTCAAGTAGTTTCATTCTGTAGCTGCCACTATCACAGAAATAAACAACAAATAAAGAAAGTGGGGAAAGCGGTCATGTACCTCAGACAACAATCTAATTTGGTAAAAGTAAGACACATTTATTTGCAAATTTTCAATCTCCTGAGAATATTTTAGAAAAATGTGCACAGTTGGAAACATTTTCTCAGAAGCAAACATTGTTTCATTGTAACATAATAATTTTGCATGTCTTTAAACTATATATGTTTCTCATGTCTGTTTTCTGCATATAAAATAATGACTTTGGGCCCTCACCTTTGACCATTTTGCAGCAATGGAGTCCCAAAATAGTTAAATGATTTATCTTTCAAATTAATAAATAGTGTCTCATATTGATGAGACACTATAATGTGGTTCAGTAGTACACGACGCACATTGTCTCCATACTTACTTAATCATTTTGTGGCAAATATTCAGCAAGGAAACATTCTTCAGAGATTTTGATCCATATTGACATGATAGGTTCACACGTCACCAGCTCTACCACACCCCTAAGATGATCTATGACTGAGATCTGGTGGCTGTGAAGGTCATTTGAGTACAGTGAACTCATTGTCAGCAGTACTAAGATAATACTTAGTATGGTTGTGCATTCAGATATGCTCTTCTTCATACCTTGGTTGTAACAAGCAGTTCTTTAGAGTTATTGCTGTCTTTATAACATCTCAAAGAGGTCTATTCATTCTTCTCTGACCTCTGATATCAACAAGGCATGTTTGCCCAGAGAGCTGCCACTCACTGGATATTTTTCTTACTTTCAGACCATTCTCTTTAAACCCTAGAGATGGTTGCGTGGGGAAAATCCAAGTATATCAGCAGTTTCTGCAATACTTACACCAGCCTATCTGGCATCAACAACCATACCACGTTCAAAGTCACTTAAATCACCTTTCATCCCCATTGTGGTGCTTGGTTTCAGCACAGAGGCACTAAAAGCTGCATAACACTTTCAATACATGTGCAACACTCATTACTAGCATCAATTTGTTTATTTGCAATAACAAAAACCTTTCTACAAATTATTCCTAAATGTGTTCAACAGTGAATACAATTCTTTACACAGATGTTTATATGTCTAACGCTATATCCACACAAATGGGTCAAGCTGTTATGGTGTTATCATTATCTTATCAACCATTTAATATTACACACCAGGTGTTTTTCATTGTTGTAACATGAACGTTTTAAGTGTAGGTTTATTGGTAAGCACTAAAAAACTGATTGCTGTATAGCTTTGTACAATTTAGTTTTACTGAGTTCAAATCCGAGAGGTGTTTTTGCCCAACTTGCCATCTCGAGCCCTTTGTTAGCTCTGGTGAATTACATACTAATGCGGGGGGTTTTCAGCTTTTTCCATCCACATGTATTGATGGGATCTGAGCAAGAAAAATGAACCCCAAAATGTTTTAAAGGTCTCCTGTTATGTTTTTGTCTGTGCATGAGTGAATGGGCAAAAGGAAAAAATGAATGAATTATAAGGGATGATAAACGCTTCTAAATCGATGGTGCTACAGTTCGACAGAAGAAAAAAGACAGCAGTGAGCTGACTCATATGTTCTCACTGAGAACTATCAAAAAAAAACAAGTAGACAGAACTTATGTATGGCAATGGTGACTGTTTTATTCATACATTAGCAACAAGATTGCTCCCTTCCTTCTCCTTTCTTTCTACCTGTAAATAATATATAAGGCAGGTGTGTTGGGAGTGATATACATGGTAATTCATGCCATGCACGTATACAGATGTCTTCAGCAAGACGAGCAACGGCAACGCCAGTGGTTTCAATGCTCTGGCCATTGCATTCACTGCATATGTTTGGGACTGTGCATGAATGAATGGGCAAATGAGAACGCAATGAATTATAAAGAATTGCAAATGGCTCTAAATGAGAATAGGCAGTCGCACATTTATTCACAAAAAGGAGAACTGTGTAAGCCCACTCGTATGTTCCAGCATCATCTGAGCACCATCATAATAAGAGTAGACACGCTTTATTGTGGTGGTGTTATTTTATTTGTACTCTGGCAGCAAGAGGAGATCTTTATTTCATTCTCCGTTACCTTTTTTTTTTTTTACTTCCTTCCTTACTTTTACTGTCAGTTAATGTAAGATAAAAGGGGGAAATTGTTCTTATTTGAGTTCTTTGAATTTTCAGTTTCAAGTTTGGATAAAATCTCTGTCAGTTCAGTTTGTCTAATATTTTTTCCTTTATGATGGCATATTGTGTGTGTGTGTGGGGGGGGGATGGAACACAAAACCACCAACTGCACGGCAAAACAAGACAAGAGTGCGCTCTTTCATCAGCATATAAATGATTATATGTTTCTAAGCACAAATGACAACCTTAAAAACATGGCCAGGGACTGCAGATGAAGATTTGCCCATGGCTTACTCTACTACAATAAACATAGAAATAAACAAAATTCTGAAAAAAAGCAAAATGATAAAAACACAATCCATGCCGCATATTCTACAGTCATCTCAGAGGAAGCGTACTTGAAGTTTCAGGTTAGAACAGTCAGTAAAAAACACAGTGCATCTGCTTCCTCCTCTCGCACTTCCTCTCTCACTCTCAATTCAATTTCATGCAATTTCATAGCACAGGAAAGTGCAATAAACAATATGAACAGTAATATAACAATATGAATGTTAATATAAGATTAAGATTTCAATATTAGTGCATATCTTGTGTATGAGTGTGTGGAGGCGTGGATTGCCATTCAGTTCCCCTCTGGTTGTAACTCGTTTTTACATGCTGTGCAACAGACATGAGGTCTGTCGCTTTCGCTAAGGATTATTTCTAGTTTTCAGTAGTTATTAAACTGTTAAAATCTGTTAATATTGATATGAGGACTTTATTTCTTTCATCATCGCCACTGCTGTGATGAAAGCAGTGGGGTCTTTAATAAAAAAAAAACTTGTTACATTAAAAAAAGAAAGTAAGATAAGATTTTTCTAAACCATAGTATCCCTCTTCTCCAGCCCTTGGCCCTTTGCTCACATTTCTTATTTCTTATTTTTTTTACATTAATTCATGAGGCTAAAACACATGTAAGCACAAGAAACTTGAACAATACTGTCTCCTATTTCTTTTTGCTCTTTCTTGTCTCCTTTGCTGCTGTTCCTGACTGAAGCGTGAGGTCTGCGGCGGTTTTGTGATGAATAGTGTTGCAGGCTGAATTACGAGCGGTCGGGTTCACAGGCTGGGCCTCCTGTAACAGGCCATGGATAAATCCTGCATTTCTCAGTATTATGGTCTCATAGAAAACTGGAGAGAAATGGAATCTTATGTGGATGCACCTGACAACCTCTACCTCATTCATCCCCACTTCTACCATCCCTCACTCCTTCACCTGACCACACACTGCGAAAGATGACTCAGCATGTAGCGTGTCGGTGTGTGAAGAAGACTATTTTAATGTGGCAAATCTGTGTGTATTTATGTGGGCAGGCACAAGACTCGTAGCACATTTGCATCAGTGGGCTGCTTCTTCATGATGATTAATATCCTGACTTGAAGGACAAAGCTAAAGAGGTTAAAGCTGCAGCGACGCTTGCGGTGCAAATAACAACTTTGTTGTTTGACCGCCGATTTCAACCCACCCTTTAATCATGGATCGCTATTATAAGTCATTACCCTCTGATATTCAGCAGACTGCAGCTGCTTGTGATGAATTGACTTTCTGGTGTTTCCACTTTCATGCAGCCAGCTCATGCATGCATCTTATTTATATCACATCTTCCTACATATTTTTATAATGTGTGGGAAAGAGTGGATACAATTGTGTTTTAAAGTGTGTGCTGCTTGTAAGAGATGAAGATGGGGCACAAAGCACCTATTTTTTAATTTTTTTGAGCTACTTATTTTCTTATGCTGATGTGTACAATATGGAACATTAATAAACCATTTAAAAATTATTGATTGTTGTAAATGTGTTATGGAAGGCAAGAAGTCATTTTTATAAACTTTTCTATGCAGTACTATAGGTGTATATTAAAAATAGTATCACACTGAGATTACAGTAAACATTCTATCTATCAGTGATGTTTTTGGTATTATTAATTTTCTAAGCAGAATGCATGTTAACCATTATATTTAATTATTGATTTCAATCTACGACATATAGCGGTGGTAGCAACCTGTCATGCACAGTCCTGCTCTTTCTTTTTTCCCCAGAAAATGCTGTTCAGAATCTTGCAGTACTCAAAGACATGTTAGCCTGTTAATTGCACAGTAGGTACACTCACCTACCTGTTGGGTCTACCTGCCCCTGCCTTGCCCATCTTGCTGTGATTTCTGTAGGACCCAATTTTCTTATGTATTCCATTAAAAATAAGAAACCTAATGTTCTTTTCTTTTCATTTTTTGCCCTGCCACAGCACATTTTATTTGGTGTTGTAGTAAAACAGCTTACAGAGCAGCAAGTACAGTGTAGCTGACAGTCAGCAGGATATAATGCAGAAGGGAAGCGCTGTCCTTGGTGCTGAAAAACCACAGAGCACCTGACACACTGTGGCCTTACACACACCGCTGATGCTGTCTGTGGTGCTGGACAGTAGCACGTTTCTAAAAGGTTTTTTTATTGCCTGTATGCGAGTAGACAATGTACAATAAAGTTTTATGCATGCTCCTTGTGGATATTTTTATAGCTTTTACTCTACTCTATTTTTGCCACTCTGCAGTCTTGTTAGTCAAATGCCCCTGCGCACCTTACTATCCAGGCTAGAGGTCCCACATGCACAGCTTAAAATAAGTTTTGATTATTTGTTTAAAGCTTGTGTTTGATGAAATATATTTTTTCTCAGTGTGTGTGGCAATAAACATAATGTCTTGCTTTTCCTTTTTCATTAAGTTTACTGATCTCACTCAATATTTCTCTTTTGGGTGTTTGTGTACCTGTGTCAACTGCGTGTATATTTGACATCCTGTCCTTGGTGTGCGTGTGTGTGCGTTTGTGTGTTTGTATACATACAGATTGGCGGAAATGGAGAGCCAGAATTGTTCATTCTTCACGGATAGTCTGTCTCCTGATGAAAGCCTGTGAGTATGCCACCACCCCCACCCCCACCCTACAAACCCTGTCGTTACAAGCACAGCCTTTCACAGGGATTATGTGTGCGTTTTGTGTGTACACTCTTTTCTCGCGATGCTTCGACTGTCTCTGCGTTTGTTTGTGTGCACGGACTTGTACATGTATGTTCAGCTCTTTGGGTAAAATTGGGTAACCGCATAGTCAGCCACATAATGAAAATGACCCACAGCAAGCAGTGTGCACACACTTTCTATTCATCATACACATGCCCGCTGCGATTAAGGTCTGTGGCTGTGTGTAGATACACAAAGCGTATGTGTGAGTGCCTGCAGAAGCTGGCTGAGTGGCTGGCAGTGGCGGGGTTACAGCAGTGAGAGGAATAAGGATGTTTGATGTGAATGAGGCAGCCAGTCCTCATTGTGGAAAGCTGAGAAAGTGCCACATGGAGAGAGTGGTTAGGGTTGTTTGAGATCATGATTTTCTGTGTGTCCATGTCTTATTTTGTTGACATCGCTGTTGGCTGTCAGCCATTTCCTCCTTCTCTGAGATGGTTCTGCTTTAAAGTTAAGGTTGTAGCTTTGCCACATACACACTTTAGAGGTCTGTGTAATGTGTGTGAGTGCAGTGTGAAGTGTGCTTATTGTACCTTTCCACATGTGTTTTGTGTTAGTCTGCTCTCAGAGAGTGATGTGACTGATGATACATTAAGAGCTTGTTTTAAACTCAGAGAGAAGTAAAAGACTTGGAAGCCAAAAACTTTTCAGTACTGATATTTCTGCTTATCAAACCTGCGTTCATTGTCTTTGTTGCTATGTGCATGCATCTAGTGTGTTGCTTGGATGGAGCTGTGTCACACAAATGTATATACATGCATATAGTTTTTGCATCTACACTCTGTCTCTGGATTATTCTGTGCCTGTGTGTTTGTATGCATGGCATTTCACTTCTTCCCCTCATGTGCAGCTGTGTTGCTTCCAGCTTTTGTGCCCTTGTATCTTCTTGTTCTTATTCTGCACACCCGTCCTTCTGTCTGTCAATGCTTCACTTTTTTTTTTTTTTTTACTTTTTTCCTGCTGCACGGCTCTGTGCTATCGGTGCTTCCAGCTGGTGTGTGCTTGGCATCCTGCTGTTTACTGTCCTGAACCACCATTCCTGCATGCTCGGCTTTTACCTCCACCTGTATATATTAATCGCAGTTTAATGTTGTCAGGTAACAGGCATGCAAGTCAACTAAGCCCAAGCACATATGAGTTGGGTCATTTAGACCCACATTGTCTCATCAATGCACCTGAAGGTTAAGTATCAGAGTATCAGAGTAACTCAGCTCAGGCGTCATGTCTTTCCTTGATATGAATGCCTCTCATTTAACTTTGGCTGTACAAAGTGGTTTGCCTGGGCAATAGCATTATTGCAACATAAACTGACAACAAGACATATCCATTTATCGTTTATTAGCCCTAGGTATGTTATCATAGATTTGAACATTACGTTTTTGTTCCAGTGCCAATAAAATGTTATTGGACATTAATATCTGAGCAATATATTGTGCAGCTTAAGATGTACCTTCCATTTTTAATAAATGTGAGTAGGTGTTAAATGGTCTGGTGAGCAAGTTTTATTGCAGAACATTTAATGTTTGGACTGGGAACCTGGCACACTGCTCCAAGCCGCTGTATCCTGTCTGGTTTCATTGTGTCTCGTCCTGTTATGCCTTCCTGTCTTGCTTGCCTTGCTTTGCTTTGGCCTGTCTGCTCTCCCATGCTCTTGGTTCTGCTTTGTGCTGCTGGTGGCTGTGTGCTGGTGGCTCAGTGTGCTGTCTCCTGTGTGGGGGACTCAGGGATGAAGATCAGTACCTCCTGCGTCACTCCAGCCCAGCCCTGGACCATGACTCACCCTGTGGACAGCACATGCTGCTGGCACATTTGGAACACCAGGATAAGGAGCAGCTCCAATGCACCCTGGCCCGCCTGGAGAACGAGAACAGGTCTGTAGCCAGGAAATAAAGCTGTTAGAACTTTCTCGTCATTCTTTAGAATTCATGTGTTTTCAAGCACAATACATCCTCCAGAATCCCATCTTTTAGACATATTTCAACACCAGTTGCATCACATCCAAACACGGAATTTTAAACATTTGAAACGGTGTTTGATCTGATTTGCTTTTAGATATGATCGAGGCTAAGATAAAAATAACGTTTGCTGCAGAAACCTTAAAGTTTGGCTTAACGTTCAGTGTTTATAAGTAAAGCTCCCCAGAAGCATTTTACACAAGTATGTTTGCGTGTTTATTTAGAGGTATTACACTCGGTTCAGTATGTCTGCTGTCATTTGCAAACCTCCTGCAGTGAATAAACACATTCATACTCTAAATCCTTTGAACTGCCTGAAGAAAACGAAAAAAAGCAGCATTTTCTGTGCGCATACCTGAGCGTTAAGCTTGTAAAACCACATATTGGTAACATGGAACCACTCATATGTCAACCTTCAGTTTGTCCTGCACAAGAAAAACAAAGAGTCTATTATGAATTGTTTGGCTTTAAGTGTAAAACATATCTAAAACACAAGATGTTAATGCTTTTGAATTAGATTTTAGTTACTACAGGGGCAGATATTTTCCATAAATGAAGCAAATTCATTTTTCCTTTCCACTTAATTGGTTACCAGAGGCATCCTTTAGTTGAATGACTCATATGAATACATTTCCCTTGTCCTCAGTTTGGTTGTGACCTTTCTAGACACACAGCAAAACACAGCTACACACACACTTGTGCCCTTTGGGTGTCTGAAACCTTGACCTAGTTCAGTTTTTCTACAAAGTGTGTCTCTTGTTATAGCGGGCTCTGTTGTGCTTATTAATGACTAAAGTGGTTGCTTTAGCTTATTTTATTGGGCTGTTTAGTGGTTTTTCTGATGCTTATAACAGAACAATAAATTAGTAAAAATAAATAAATAAATTAAGAACTTATTTTGGGTCTCTTTAACCCAAAAAAACCCCAACCTTTTTTTTTAGCTTTATAAAGAGATGGACATGTGCTTTTATCTAATATAAGATAGAATTTACCTGAAATTTTATGATTTTTAATGTAGTGGTACAACCACCTATATTCAAGAACCATCACTTAAATCAGCGGTCCACAACCTTTTTTGCACCACGGACCGGTTTATGCCCGACAATATTTTATGGACCGGCCTTTAAGGTGTCGCGGATAAATACAACAAAATAAAACTAGTACCGGTACCGAAAAAAAGAAAATTTATTCATAACACACGTGAAAAGACCAAGGAAAGCCAAGTAAACGATAAAAACTATAACAAAATAACGCCGAAAACCGATAAAAACCCTGAAAACCATACATTTCACACCTGAGCCTCAACTATTGCGGCCCGGTACCAAACGACTCACGGACCGGTACCGGTCCGAGGCCCGGGGGTTGGGGACCGCTGACTTAAATGATCAATTCAATTCAGTTCAGTTCAGTTGAATTTTATTTATATAGTGCCAAAAGTAAAGACCCTACAAGAATACAAAGAAAACTGAAAAACCCAAGCACTTCCCTCTGACAATAGTGGGAAGAAAAAACATCCTTTTTAACAGGAAGATTTAATATGTATGAAAACATGAATTTCATTAAATGACTGTGAATCAGTTTTTGAAAAAAAAAATACAAAATTACATTTACATGTAATTCAGTGATAGCCCTATATTTCATATACCTTATCTGGGTATATGAATGCCATGGCGAGCTGCTCAACCTCTGACCATCCACCATTCATTAGAACAGCTACCCTGACTTTCTGGTTTTTGTTTTTATTTTATTTATTTATTACATTTTCTTTTCCAAAGAGATAGTTACAGATAATTCTGCAATTAAATAGACCAGTATGTTGTGACGATCATTTTCCAGCAGCCAAATCAATTAACAATGCATCACAAGTCTATAAACAGTTTTAATAGCGAATCACCACACAAAGCCACTGAATATTCACAGCACCATACAAATATGTGATATGAAAGGCTTCTATTAAAAATGAAGATTGCACTCCATGTGGTTAGTCATCAATAATACATTAGGATCCTGCAGTACTGATTGTTTAATGTGTTGGTATTTAGTAAATCATTCAAATTATTTGTCTCATAAATACAAATGTCAGGTTATAATGCGTTTCTGTTTGCGTCAGTATAATTCTCTAAGTTGATGTTTTGCTTGCTGCACCAACAAGTTGCCTTGACTGTTCTCCTCCATCTGTTGGTCCTCAGGGTGCTGCAGAGCGAGTACAGGCGGCTTAAGTGGAAACACGAAGAGGCGGCATCAGTTCCCATGCTGACTGAGGCTGGAGAAGGAGGTCTCGGTTCACCTACAGCGGAAGGGCAGCAGGACGAGGAGCTCTTGGCTGAAGCACGGGTCCTCCGGCAACACAAGACTCGCCTGGAGACCCGTATGCAGATCCTGGAGGACCACAACAAACAGCTCGAGTCCCAGCTGCGCCGGCTCAGGGAGCTACTGCTACAGGTCAGCGGTACATCTCTGAGGGAGGCCTGGAAAGGACATGAACAGTTCCTACAATGGATTTTATTTATTTAAAAACAATACTTGTATGTTTTTATGTGTACTTCTAAGTCTACCAACTAGGTTTTACAGGCAAATACTTTAGGTGCAGATCTTTAAAAAAAAATTATATTAGACAAAGATTATCGCTGTAAATGTAAAATAAATGAATTTAGGAAAAAAGCTATTCAAACCTACCGGGCCACACGTGAAAAACAAATTGCCCTCCTTAAATCAAGAATGAATTGTGATTAACCACATTTTTTGGAAAGCTGCGTTCAGTTGAACTATAGCCACGCCCAGGTCTCATTACTGACAGACCTGTTGAATCACAAAAAGCTTAAACAGAATCTGTCTAACAGACTGAAGTGAAGATCTTTGGGAACATATTCTGTGTGCTGATGAGACAAAAGCTGGATTTTGTGGAAGGCCCGGGAATTCTGTTCTCTACCAGAAAATCCCAAAAGAGAATGTCCTGCCAGCTCAAGTTCAGTCGGGTTATGTAGCAGGATAATAATCAGAAACACACTAACAAGTCCACATCTGAATGGTTAAAAAAGAAAAATTGAAGGTTTTGGAGTGGACTTGTCAAATTCCCAACTTAAATCAGACTGAGATGTTTGGCATGATCTCAAACAGGCCGTTCATGCTTGAAAATCCTCCAGCGTGTGTGAATTAAAACAAATCTGCAAAGACGAGTGGTTTGCAGCGATGTGAAAGACTCATTGCCAGGTATCACCAGCACTTGATTGCAGTTCTTGCTGCCAAGAGTGGCACAACCAGTTATTAGGTTTAGGGGACAATTAGGTAGGTTTGGATATTTTGGATAGAGGACAAATATTTTGGCACAGCACTGTATAGTTCTTGCAGATTTCTGTAGCTGCAGTTTAAAAAAAAGGGGCACAGAGGGAAATTTAACCTCACCAGTTTTCAATATTTGTATTCCTCACAGACAGCACAGATAGCAGATAGCAAAGTTCTTGAAATACACTTATAAAAGTACAAAAAGGCACACAGTGTTCATTTAAAAGAAGGAATGGGAGTACAAAGAAGTACAGTATGGAAGGAGTTAAGAAAGAGGATAAGCCTTAATACACTCTGGAGCGTCATATAAAAGGATTTACTGCGGTGTAAAGGAAAGGTGTGGCAAAGAGATAGGCGAGTGGGAGCTGACACTCACAGTTACTGGTTACTATAATGGCAATGTATAAATTGTTGTCAGTGGGAGTATCTAAACTGCACACTCAGGCCACAGAATAAAGAGAAAATGAAGGGAATAAATGACAGTAGGAGAAAGAACAGGAACAGGATCTGCATCTTCAGGTTAAAGAGAGCAAGAGGCACATATTCCTGGGTTAAAAACATAAAGGGAGGGAAAAAAGCTATTTGAATTCTTTTCTCTGTGGACCTATATCACAGTTTCATTTCCTCAGAAAATAAAATCTGTAGAATCTGCAGTCTCTAGTCTCTAGAAGTATATGTATGAATCCCTCCCAGTCTCTACAGAGACTCCTGTTTTGCAGCAGCTACTGAACTTACTCACCTCTGGAGTATTGCCACAGTGTTGCTAAAAACAATACGAACCATGGGAATGTTGCATATAAGATCTTCGAGAGTTACACTATCCCCCTTTGATTCTGAATTGAGGCATCCATTGTGGTGTCAGTCTGTTTTCTGCAATGCTTGTCTGTGCAGTGCAACTCCCTTTGGCTTTTACCTACCTATCAAAGCACAAATCACAGTAACCTGATGAACAGCTGTTGGGCAAAATTGCCTTTTTAAATATTTTTTCTCTGAGTTCTCATTTGAGGACTGCCGGCTGCCATTAAACATCACATTCATTGCTATCTGAAAGGCAAAATGACTCTGATGTCTGAAATATGATAGAAATGAGGGGTTATTTAGAAAGAATGGTAATAAGTCTCTCCCAAAAGCAGCCCAAAGATGATTCAGAGGCCAATGGATCAGAACCATCAACCCTGTCTTCTCCTGTGTCTGGAGGAGGACACCATGGGGAGCCAGCTAGCAGAGAGACTACAGACACTGAAGCAGCAGGTCAGTGACATGCAGCCAGGCTAAGATGAGGGCTTGACATATGCATGCATGCTAAATGTAAAACCTTATCTTTTCACTGAGAAGTAACATTTTCTGTGGCGGCTTGAATCCGTGTGTGTGTGTGTGTGTTTGTGGCAGGAGATGATTTGGAGCATGAGCAGGACACGGTGCTGCAGCTCCAGGAGGTCATTGAGCAGCTGAGAAACGTCTTCCCTTCAGAACCTGGTGAGTTTGTTTCGGCTACATGGATCTTTGCTGCTGTAGCACTCCACACTTCAGAGACAGCTTCTTTGCTCCCCCCATGGCCCTTGGGACTGTGAGAGATGGAGAGGAGAGCAAATATGTACTAGTGTGGATCAATAGAAGGGGAGGGGGTAGGGATGGAAAGATTGAATGGCAGAGAGGAGAAGTAAGATAAGAGGGCGACTGCAGCAGAGAAAGACAGAGCGTGTCACTGTCACACACTTTGCCACAGTGCCCCACTGCATTTAAAATGCAATTTGCTGGGCAATCCAAAGCCTGCAATTTGAACAAAGAAAGGGATTATAATAATTATAGCCTTCTTAGTTATAACCAAGAACATTTCCTTGGTCCTTTGCATGTGCTCCTAAACTTGTTAACCCTTTTCTTTTCTTTAAATTCTCTTTTATATCCTAATCTCAGGCACCACATCACACATCTAACCCTGAGTGTGCCTGGAGGAGCAGAAAGAAAGCCTGAAAGAACGCCTGATGGCAGAGGGAGGAGCTCTATGCAGCTGAGGTCAGGCCACAGTACACCAGGCCATGTGACCACTGCAGCGGCAATGATACTTAGAGCTAACCCTCTACTGGAATTTTGTGCACTAAAAGCCTTTTTCATGCAAACTGCTAAAGGCTCACGCTGATGTCCTTTTGGCCAGGCTGTGCTTCATAGCTTCAGTGGCGCAGCCTGACACCATGTTAACGAGCCAAAGGAAACTAATGTTAGCAGCAGGTCAGGGAGAGACTAAAGTGATGGAAAATGCCCAGCCAAGACACTGTGTTTACCAGTATTTGTGTAGTCATTCAGAGGTGGGAAGCTTTATATCAGTCTGCAGCACAAATCGGACCTTCCGTGAAAAGAACCTCAAAAAAATGCAAAAAGGGGAAAAGGAAGGACATCCATTGTTTCTATCAAAATGCCTGTATCTTCAGTGTGTGTTTCCCCCCCCCCTCCTGAATGTGTTGTCATGGTTGTTATTTTTGTATTTTGAAACAAGGAGGTGAGCTAAAGCTTAACCGTGTAAGCTAGATCAGGACTGGGCTGACTACATTTTATGTGGCTGCGTGCTGCAGACTGTCAAGGAGCTGACAGCACCCACAACGGGCTTATTTACTTTTTCAGAATGACACATTATCAGTTAAATCCATGACTTATTTGAGACAGCCAAAGTGCCCGCTAGCACAGCGCCTCTGTATGCACACACTGTGTTCCTCTAATCCTGTCTCACTGCTTGTCGTACTCATTGCTTGCCTCTCCTAAGTGAGCCCTTTACACCCATAGAGCACTAACTGCACTCAGTGTATGTGCACACACGTATGCTGCTACACACGCACCCCTATTTGCAATAGCCCCCACGCATCCACCCACATTATGCACAAATAACCAAATGGCTCCCTGCATGATCGATAACATGTGCTGTGATGTATCGCCAGAAATACACCATAGGCCAATTTCATAAAAATGGAGATCTATTTCATCTTGAAGGATATAAACAAGTTCTCAGTGGTAAGCCAATTTATTTTGTGAATGGGATTGTGTTTTGTTTAGGAAATGTCTGCTGATAAATATCAGCATGCATGCCACTGCTCTGAGATCTTAGGGTTCTCCTGCTATGTGCAGACAGAAGGAAGGAGCTCCTAAAAGTTAAAGCTCCCCCACCCCTCGATATGCTAATTCCAAAAACTACAGGGGGGGGTATAAGGCACACCAAGATAACTCAATCCCACACCAGCTCCATTCTTAATAATCCCTTCATTCCATGTAGATTTGAAAAGAACAGTAGCTACTGACTCTGCATGTGTCATTTCCCCTCATGTTAATGCATACTTAATTGCTTTTAGATTTACAAAAGGATGTGTCGTTGATATAGTTTCACCCTCATCGTATCAAGCTCATAGGGTGCATTTTGTTCTAAACATAGCACAGTCAATTAATGCCTTAAAACCGAGCTGAATCCATAAAAGACAAGAGTTAGTCTTTCTCCACGTTTTCTTTCTTTTTTCATTATGCTTTAAATTCAGGGAAGGAGGTTGCGTCAGGAGTGTGTTTGTGCACTAGTGTCTGTCAGTCCCCGGACAGACCTGTGGTTGATTGGAAGTGACAGCTGGAATGGAAAAGTGTGGATCACAGCATGTGAGCATCCATAGGGTGAAACCGGTTAAATAAGGCTTGTATGAGTGAACCCATGGTGCCGGGTATGCTTGGAGGGAGTAAAGATCTAAGAGACAAGAGAGGAAAGGCGTAAAAAAACCAATCCATTTATTGCTTGAGGGCTGGTGGGAGAGATCCACTTTGATGTGCCTGCCACAGCAAAATCTCCAGAAGCAGGACTAAAGTTTGCCTGAAACAATGAAGCTGTGGTTCTGTGTGTTTCTCCGTACTCAAACCACCCCATTCTCATATACATTGAGGAATCCATGCTAAACTTTAAAAATATCATTCTGACCCCACATACATGAGTTTAAAACCCATGTGCTGCATTCATTATGGGATCTTCCTCCAGGCACATAGCACTCACATTTGACACCATCCTCCTCAGCACTCGTTGCCTGTTAGTTTTGATACCGTTGCTAGGGAACTGCCCCCAAGGACAAAGCTCCACAGGTTTGCAAGTTGGAAACGTGATGTGCCATTCATAATACAAATGCTAATAGCCTTAAGGGAAGCAAGAGAGGCCCTTGGTTCCCAAACACAGCTCTCCTTTTCTTCATGTCCACCTCCACTGAAGCCTGCCACTGTTAAGCTGCTGAAGATAGTCATTACTATTTGTTGAACCCATCTCCGCATCAGCACTGCTTGAGAATTTGTTTTGTTAAAGCTCTCGCAACTCAGAACAAAGAGCAGCTGCACAGCTCGTGCGAGAAAAAAAAAAAAGCCATGACAAGCGATGTTTATTCATAGACGTTTATGTATTGGTATTTACACATCTCATTACACAGTGATGATTATCCATTGCTCTCAGTTGCTCCATACGTTTCTATGTGGGTACACAAGATGATGGCGCAGTGACAGGTTGTGAAAAAGAAGGGGAGACAACCCCCCCAGTAGGACTGCACATCAACAGTTGTCATGTTTATTTTAACACCATATAGTGACGAAAGAATGACACAAACATATAGACTAGGTAGTTATACTACAGGGTTACATTGCAATTCGCAGTTTGTCCCAACATTTCACTCTGCTGCTGCTCGACACCGCCATCCAAATAAATGATGATGCGTGACTGTGTGATCATCTGAGGTCTCATCCGTGTGCACATTTCTTTACTCCTAGTGGCTTCCTGTTTTGCCCCACACACACTAACACACACTGCTCCCTGTGGCATGACTGAAGCCGGGTGAAAAAAGGTTCTCTACATAAGCCGGAGTCACCCCCAGAGGACACCGCTATCACTGCTCAGACTTCTGTTACTGCATGTAGCTTGCCAACATGCTCCACGGGCCCTGTCATTAATCTGCCGCCTCAGTGTCAGACCCTCCCTCCTGTGTTTACCAACACGCATCTAAATATGTAACAAGGACACGTGCGCTTGTATGTCACGCAACATATATAAGTTTGTTACTCTAACACACTCATTTTTTTTTTCTGATGAAATGAGGTTTTTCTTCTTTGTGTGTTCTTTTAAATCACCATTAATATACCTCATTAATCATAATGTTTGACTTCTTTAACACTTTTGATTTCCTGTTTTATTGTCCAGAACTCAAAACACTTCTTTTTGTCTTTTCTCTGGAGTTTTTAATCTGTATTAAAAAAAAGGGTTTCTGAAGAAAGGCTTTTTACTGTAATAACAAGTGGGTTACTGGCTGCTTTCTACTCTTTGTGTACAGAAATAAAAGTTTGTATTTGGCAAACTCCTTGTCTGCTCGTGTTATTGTTTTTTTTGTTTATTTCATGTGACTGCAGTTATCCCTTTGAGATTTGAATAATGAAAGTTAACTCAGAATGGTGCCAAATACAGGCTGTTTTATATTAATTTTTCTTTTTGTGTTTATATTTGGATTTGTGTATGTCCCATTGTGAGGCCTGTGTGCTTGTCATTTTTTTTCTGACTCTGTTATTCAGTCTGCCCTCGACTTCTACCTTAAACCTTTGCTTCAGCGCAGAAAAAACGGCTCATTGGTCTATTCTGATGCAGTGCCACCCTTTTCTGTTTTAGCCCTGTTGGCTTTGTTCCCTGAGTTTGTTCTCTTTGGCTGTGGTGCAGCACTTGATTGACATTTTACCTTCTTTCTCGCCTTATCGCGCACTGATCTCTTGCTCGCTGCATTATCTTTGCCGGAGCTGGCGGGCGCAGGATCTCTATCTTTATCTATTGCTTGATTATCTGGTACACCCAGCCCAGCTTCATGAACCACGGCCTTCTCTATACTTTCATTATCTAACCCCTCTCCACTCGCTCTCCCACGCTCTGGCTCTTTATTACCCTGCTCTGCTTTCACATCTGGATTTTTCCCTGTTTCTGCAACATCCACCCCCTCTGTCTCGACAGGGGTGCATTTCTCTGAGCTTTCCATCTCCTGGCTCTTAGTGTCTTCAGTCTTCTTATCTACATTAATATCTGCTTTAGCTTTTCCTTCTGTGGCTTTTGGAGGAAATTTGACGTTCTTCTTTCTGGCTGCACTCGTGGGCTTGGTCCCACCGGGCCCCCACTTCTCCTGTGTTGTATCCCAGTAAGTCTTGTTCTGACTGGCATGCATAGAACGCATGCTCTGGCCCAGCTTCCTCAGTTCCTGCTGCACAAAGGGTTTAAACTTCTGGTCCAGTTTCTCCACCATATCAAAGTCTCTTCGAGCTTCATCCTCATTGCACAAAGCAGCATGAGCCCGAGCCCTCTGGTACACTGCCTTGAAATTACCTATTGAGAAAAGAGAGCGAATAAGTATAAATGGCAATACTATTGACTCGTAAACACCACAAGAGGCAACAGGAGGTAAGAATGATTGGTAGGCCGGCAAGAGTAAAACTGGAAAGCCGTAAAAGTTGAAGATAAAATGAATACCACAGGAGTTAACTACACTGAATGCCAGCGGTGAGACAGGAGATGTAGTAGGAGGTGAACGCACGAGAGGAGTAAATGAACGGCAAAGAAACGCATAAAACAACCTTTTCAGATCGCCCTAACTGTTAATAATTCATCATAGCACAAACAAAAAGAAAACAATGAATTCATTTTTGACTGTGATGTCCATGGGTGGGAGCTGAGGGAACAAAAGATAGACACAGCTTTGCGGTTGTGAATGTTTGGTTTCTTCTTTCCCTGGTAAACACAAAGATCAAGGCTTGTTGCACTGTGAAGGCGAGTGTTTGCTGAGGGCTGGCAGGAGAACTTGAAATTTTTTAGCTTAAAAATGATAGGTTTTTTGGGGTTGTTTTTTTTTTTTTCTGTACGCACTAAACCGGGGTATATTTATATACTCAAGTATCTATTTCTATACCAAACTCAATTTTCACTCTAATATTACCTTTGTGTTTCTTCAGCAGCTTGGTGTTGAGCTCCACAACTTGCTGGTATTGTTTTAGCTCCAGCATGCACTGGCTGAAATTAAGAGTCAAAGGAAGACGCACTTTCTCCAGCGAATCCCAGTCCTCACCCTGTTGATCCACCTGCAGAGAAAAGAGAGTGGACATGAAAGCCGGGTAGGTGGGAGGGTGAGGGCAAAGGAGGTGGTAGTGATAGATGGCGAGAGAAATGTTGAAAAGATGAAACAAAGGCAGGGCCAAATATATAAAGCGTTGGGAGGCACGACGAAAAAGCTCGGATGTGGAAAATGATACCGGGAGGAGGCAGAGGAATTTAGAATGAGGAGAAATAAAGATGGAAGTGGGTGGGTTGAGGACAGCGGAGAGTTTGTTGTGTGTGAAAGGCATGAGGGAGTTAGACACAGAGGTGTGGCAGAAAGGAGAGTTTAAGAAAGAGAAAAGAAGAGCAGGCAAGCAGTGTGACAGTGATATCTCTGTGGATAGCTGTTATTTTCAGAGCACTTTCTCTGCTCTTCACTTTGCCAGCGTACCTACAATGCCACAGCTGCTCTTCAGTAAAAAAGCAACAATGACAGATGATTACAGTTTACAAGCCACAGTGAGTCGCGGTCCTTTAGCAAGACTACTCTCTGGCATGTTCGACTATTCATCACACTGAGTGGATTGAACCGGTGGCTGTTAATGTGGTATGTCCATCTGGGTACTGTCATCGCAACAAAAAGCTCTATTTTACATTCAATTGCCTGGAAAAGACAACACAATTACTTGAACGCTTTTACAAACCCTCACTTAATCACCAATTACTTACTTTATTTTGAAGGCAGTCCACATATTCTATAGCCTC